TGCCCTCCTCTGTGGCTGTGGCAGGCCGAGCTTGGCCTTCCCGGAGGGTGAGGTGCCCGCAGGCGATCGGAAGTAGCTCCGACGGGCAAGTGAGGCGAGGGGAGGGAAGTTGGGCTCTTCTTGAAGCTGCTTGTGTGCTCCAGTGTGATTGGAGGGAGAAGGCCTTGATTCTCCACCTCTTTGAGGCTGACGAGGTCAAACCTGCCATCTTTTTCCACAAGGACCCTTCCCTCTTTTGGCCCTTCATCTCTCATCCCACCTTGATGCTCCTCTCGAGGGGACAGTTTCAGTTCAGACAACCTCCCTGACACTTCCATCTCTGTGTCATCCACCTCTCTGGCATCATTTTCCGATTGCAAGGGAGGCACCGCTAAGGTAACCAGTGTCTCTTTAAACTGAAGTCGCCGCCTCCTGCTCAAATTTGGAGCTTCTTGATCCTGCAGCTCCTTGTTGGCTTGTTGGATTTTCCCTTGGATGTATTTCTTTTCCTCGTCCGTCTGCTCACCCACACCCAAAGGAGGTGGTGTCGCATGAAAGGACTTATCGGGGCTGTCTCTGTCCAAATCGTACTCGAGTGGGTCCATCGGTGAGGGCCACCTCTCCTCATCGTCCTCTTGCTCATCAGAGTTGTTGCTTCTCTCCTTCACTTTAAGTTGTTTCTCATCCTCGGCCAGCTCTTTGTCAATGTCCGCTTCAATGTCATCATAGTTAGGTCCCTGTGTGGTGTTAACATGCATTTAGTACAGGGGTGAACAAACTTCTCTATGACTATTTCTTCAATTCAATTCATTTTCCCACAATATTTAACAGACTCAGAATGAACGGATGGGTCGTATCCACCCAATCTTATATATGGCTGTTTTTTTACTCAGCCGCTAGTCGTATTATAGACGTCTCCCAAACATACTATTTATTTACAGTAGTTTGTACTGTAAAGCCCTTATTTATGGCTTCTGATATAACGGGAGGTGAGTAAAGGAAGCGTTAACATTGTGACTCATGAATATGAGAAGCATGCTATTATGATCCCTCAAACACCAATAAGGTAAATTTGGATCAACTTTTCAAACAGTTCCAAGTCCCTTTTGCTTAGTAGTTTGTACTGTAAAGCCCTTATTTATGGCTTCTAATATAACGGGAGGTGAGTAAAGGAAGCGCTAACGTTCTGACTCATGAATATGAGAAGCATGCTATTATAATCCCTCAAACACCTATAAGGTAAGTTTGGATAAACTTTTCAAACAGTTCCAAGCTCTTTTTCTTCTTCTTAACAATAATTGAGTTCTACTAACGGGAGGTGAGTAAAGGAAGCGTTAACATTGTGACTCATGAATATGAGAAGCATGCTATTATGATCCCTCAAACACCAATAAGGTAAATTTGGATCAACTTTTCAAACAGTTCCAAGTCCCTTTTGCTTATTCTTAACAATAATTGAGTTCTACATTTTCAAGGTATGAAAAAAGCCATGAAAAAAAAGACTTCTGTGTAAGGGACAATGGTCTCTAACGGATGATCCTTTCTCCCAATCAGACCGTGAACTCGAGTTTCCACTGTAGTCCAAATTGTACAATTTTAGCTGTTCCACCGATCGTCGTTGGCAGTCCAGTGTAACAGTGTTTGTGTTCGTGTGTTCATGAATATTGCAGCACAGTGAAAGGATGTCATTACTGTAGTACAGTGAGTGTGTCAGCTGCTGGGTTTCACTTACTTGCTCCTCACTCCGACTTTCCTCACTGATCAGCCAGTCCAGATCCTTCTCAAAGTCATCCTCATACACCTCCTGGGATTTCGTGCAAACCACCTCACTCATGATCTACCATCAGGAGAAGATCAAATACTGTACTAATATATAGAGTGATAACAAATAATTGTATTTAATTATGGTTAATACTGCTATCGTATGTCATTCATTTCATATAGTGCTTATCCTGTTCAGGAGTGTAGGAAGTCTTGAGCCAGCTGAGTTTGGGCGAGACATAGAAAACACTGATTCCAAACCACGGGTAAGAAAGTCAACTTTGTGAACCAACCGCTACATTACGAACGGCCTGGTTATGTTATTCCTGAAGGTTTGATTTTAGAATATGATGAATAAATGATCGCCAAAATAGCAGAAATTCTGCTTATTAAGACTCAGTGTCATTGACACACAATGAAAATGCCACGTGTCCTCAATGTTGTAGCATATAAAAAAGTATATACATGTAGAGTATATAAAAAAGTACCTTATAAAACCAAATTATTATCATTGGTAGGAGTACTTATAAGAGTATTAGTAACCCCAGTACTAATATTGTTAGCAGTTTATTAATAACTTTTGTGTAAAATAATTTTCTTTGAGTTAACTTCTTGTTTTAATTATTTGGTTATCTATTCGCTCTTGTGTTTTATTTACTTATTTATTACTGCTTTAAAATACAGTTTTTTCTTGGTTAAACAAGCACCCAGTCTGCCGTGTCTTATTGCTTACGGGTGATATAGAAGACAATGTTGTTTGTTGGATCGTGAGTTAAATCATTATTTAAAATGATATAACACTAACGTACTTGACGAATCAATGAACATATCCAATTTCCTGCGCGAGATAATCTATTACAAACCAAGGTTACTGCAAAGTGTTGAAGCCTGTCTGATATCTTATTCCTAATTGCTTTGGTTTGTCGGAAATGAATAAACATCCGGCTATATCGTCATTAAAAGTTTACCCATGGGCTTTCATTGAAAGGATTTCACGCGAAACCTTATGAACTAAAAAGAAATGTTTGTCTGTAAACTTACCATTGGTTCGTGCGTTACTATTCCCGAAGAGTGAAAATACGGTCAAACCGAACATGCAAATGTGCTGCCTCTTTTCCACCATCTAAAGGTGTACACACTGAGCCTGTCCGTCTGCGGGGCGACACCTGCTCCGTGCACATAATCTCTTGCTGTCTGCAACTCTAAAAGCATTAGCTGTCCCGTCGCCATAGAGACTGACAACATTTACACTCGCTCATGCGCACAAACGACAATGAAAGCCCATGAGCATGAGCGATCACCACAAAATAATAATAATAATAATAATAATATACGTTTCGGAATATCGGAACGTAAATAGGGTTTTGAGTATTTATGAAATGTAATTTAATAGTCATGTTGAGAGTTTGTTTAATGACGTTCAAAACAACCCCAATACTATTCAGAAAAAAAGGTCAAAACAAAATGTCAAAACTAACACTAAGCAGGCACCTCAATGCTGTTCAGTCATGTTTGTACCAATTAAAATATGTGTCCGCGATTTGCTGTTTGTTGTGAATTTTACAACCAAAATCTATCTATCTATCTATCTATCTATCTGTCTATCTATCTATCTATCTATCTATCTATCTATCTATCTATCTATCTATCTATCTATCTATCTATCTATCTATCAGTGGCGGATGCTGGTCTGTCAAGGAGGGGAAGCTCAATTTCGGCCTACATCATAAAATGTGTCTGTTTATTTACACGTGGATTCTACTCTCCGTTCCTTTTCAAGAAAATTATCTGTGACCCTGTCATACCAACAAGGCGTCTTTTCCAGGGACTGAACTACTGTCCTACAACTACAGCAACTACAATAAAATCCACCAGAAATAAAAGATTAATTTGTCGCTAGTTGTTTACAACTAAACTTACTAGGGTCGTTTTTTTCGGCTAAAAACGCCTTACGATACATGGTCGTTTTTTTTCAGCTAAAAACGCCTTACTATACATGGTCGTTTTTTTTCCGATAAAAACGCCTTACTACACTTGGTCGTTATTTTCGGCTAAAAACGCCTTACTATACATGGTCGTTTTTTTCGGAAAAAATGCCTTTCTATACATGGTCGTTATTTTCGGCTCAAAACGCCTGACTATACATGGTCGTTTTTTTCGTCTAAAAATGCCTTACTATACATGGTCGTTTTCCCGCAGGCGATCGGAAGTAGCTCCGACGGGCAAGTGAGGCGAGGGGAGGGAAGTTGGGCTCTTCTTGAAGCTGCTTGTGTGCTCCAGTGTGATTGGAGGGAGAAGGCCTTGATTCTCCACCTCTTTGAGGCTGACGAGGTCAAACCTGCCATCTTTTTCCACAAGGACCCTTCCCTCTTTTGGCCCTTCATCTCTCATCCCACCTTGATGCTCCTCTCGAGGGGACAGTTTCAGTTCAGACAACCTCCCTGACACTTCCATCTCTGTGTCATCCACCTCTCTGGCATCATTTTCCGATTGCAAGGGAGGCACCGCTAAGGTAACCAGTGTCTCTTTAAACTGAAGTCGCCGCCTCCTGCTCAAATTTGGAGCTTCTTGATCCTGCAGCTCCTTGTTGGCTTGTTGGATTTTCCCTTGGATGTATTTCTTTTCCTCGTCCGTCTGCTCACCCACACCCAAAGGAGGTGGTGTCGCATGAAAGGACTTATCGGGGCTGTCTCTGTCCAAATCGTACTCGAGTGGGTCCATCGGTGAGGGCCACCTCTCCTCATCGTCCTCTTGCTCATCAGAGTTGTTGCTTCTCTCCTTCACTTTAAGTTGTTTCTCATCCTCGGCCAGCTCTTTGTCAATGTCCGCTTCAATGTCATCATAGTTAGGTCCCTGTGTGGTGTTAACATGCATTTAGTACAGGGGTGAACAAACTTCTCTATGACTATTTCTTCAATTCAATTCATTTTCCCACAATATTTAACAGACTCAGAATGAACGGATGGGTCGTATCCACCCAATCTTATATATGGCTGTTTTTTTACTCAGCCGCTAGTCGTACTATAGACGTCTCCCAAACATGCTATTTATTTACAGTAGTTTGTACTGTAAAGCCCTTATTTATGGCTTCTAATATAACGGGAGGTGAGTAAAGGAAGCGCTAACGTTCTGACTCATGAATATGAGAAGCATGCTATTATAATCCCTCAAACACCTATAAGGTAAGTTTGGATAAACTTTTCAAACAGTTCCAAGCTCTTTTTCTTCTTCTTAACAATAATTGAGTTCTACATTTTCAAGGTATGAAAAAAGCCATGAAAAAAATGACTTCTGTGTAACGGACAATGGTCTCTAACGGATGATCCTTTCTCCCAAATCAGACCGTTAACTCGAGTTTCCACTGTAGTCCAAATTGTACAATTTTAGCTGTTCCACCGATCGTCGTTGGCAGTCCAGTGTAACAGTGTTTGTGTTCGCGTGTTCATGAATATTGCAGCACAGTGAAAGGATGTCATTACTGTAGTACAGTGAGTGTGTCAGCTGCTGGGTTTCACTTACTTGCTCCTCACTCCGACTTTCCTCACTGATCAGCCAGTCCAGATCCTTCTCAAAGTCATCCTCATACACCTCCTGGGATTTCGTGCAAACCACCTCACTCATGATCTACCATCAGGAGAAGATCAAATACTGTACTAATATATAGAGTGATAACAAATAATTGTATTTAATTATGGTTAATACTGCTATCGTATGTCATTCATTTCATATAGTGCTTATCCTGTTCAGGAGTGTAGGAAGTCTTGAGCCAGCTGAGTTTGGGCGAGACATAGAAAACACTGATTCCAAACCACGGGTAAGAAAGTCAACTTTGTGAACCAACCGCTACATTACGAACGGCCTGGTTATGTTATTCCTGAAGGTTTGATTTTAGAATATGATGAATAAATGATCGCCAAAATAGCAGAAATTCTGCTTATTAAGACTCAGTGTCATTGACACACAATGAAAATGCCACGTGTCCTCAATGTTGTAGCATATAAAAAAGTATATACATGTAGAGTATATAAAAAAGTACCTTATAAAACCAAATTATTATCATTGGTAGGAGTACTTATAAGAGTATTAGTAACCCCAGTACTAATATTGTTAGCAGTTTATTAATAACTTTTGTGTAAAATAATTTTCTTTGAGTTAACTTCTTGTTTTAATTATTTGGTTATCTATTCGCTCTTGTGTTTTATTTACTTATTTATTACTGCTTTAAAATACAGTTTTTTCTTGGTTAAACAAGCACCCAGTCTGCCGTGTCTTATTGCTTACGGGTGATATAGAAGACAATGTTGTTTGTTGGATCGTGAGTTAAATCATTATTTAAAATGATATAACACTAACGTACTTGACGAATCAATGAACATATCCAATTTCCTGCGCGAGATAATCTATTACAAACCAAGGTTACTGCAAAGTGTTGAAGCCTGTCTGATATCTTATTCCTAATTGCTTTGGTTTGTCGGAAATGAATAAACATCCGGCTATATCGTCATTAAAAGTTTACCCATGGGCTTTCATTGAAAGGATTTCACGCGAAACCTTATGAACTAAAAAGAAATGTTTGTCTGTAAACTTACCATTGGTTCGTGCGTTACTATTCCCGAAGAGTGAAAATACGGTCAAACCGAACATGCAAATGTGCTGCCTCTTTTCCACCATCTAAAGGTGTACACACTGAGCCTGTCCGTCTGCGGGGCGACACCTGCTCCGTGCACATAATCTCTTGCTGTCTGCAACTCTAAAAGCATTAGCTGTCCCGTCGCCATAGAGACTGACAACATTTACACTCGCTCATGCGCACAAACGACAATGAAAGCCCATGAGCATGAGCTGTCACCACAAAATAATAATAATAATAATAATAATATACGTTTCGGAATATCGGAACGTAAATAGGGTTTTGAGTATTTATGAAATGTAATTTAATAGTCATGTTGAGAGTTTGTTTAATGACGTTCAAAACAACCCCAATACTATTCAGAAAAAAAGGTCAAAACAAAATGTCAAAACTAACACTAAGCAGGCACCTCAATGCTGTTCAGTCATGTTTGTACCAATTAAAATATGTGTCCGCGATTTGCTGTTTGTTGTGAATTTTACAACCAAAATCTATCTATCTATCTATCTATCTATCTGTCTATCTATCTATCTATCTATCTATCTATCTATCTATCTATCTATCTATCTATCTATCTATCTATCTATCTATCTATCTATCTATCTATCAGTGGCGGATGCTGGTCTGTCAAGGAGGGGAAGCTCAATTTCGGCCTACATCATAAAATGTGTCTGTTTATTTACACGTGGATTCTACTCTCCGTTCCTTTTCAAGAAAATTATCTGTGACCCTGTCATACCAACAAGACGTCTTTTCCAGGGACTGAACTACTGTCCTACAACTACAGCAACTACAATAAAATCCACCAGAAATAAAAGATTAATTTGTCGCTAGTTGTTTACAACTAAACTTACTATACATGGTCGTTTTTTTCGGCTCAAAACGCCTGACTATACATGGTCGTTTTTTTTCGGCGAAAAATGCCTTACTCTACATGGTCGTTTTTTTTCGGCGAAAAATGCCTTACTCTACATGGTCGTTTTTTTTCGGCGAAAAATGCCTTACTCTACATGGTCGTTTTTTTTCGGCGAAAAATGCCTTACTCTACATGGTCGTTTTTTTTCGGCGAAAAATGCCTTACTCTACATGGTCGTTTTTTTTCGGCGAAAAATGCCTTACTCTACATGGTCGTTTTTTTTCGGCGAAAAATGCCTTACTCTACATGGTCGTTTTTTTTCGGCGAAAAATGCCTTACTCTACATGGTCGTTTTTTTTCGGCGAAAAATGCCTTACTCTACATGGTCGTTTTTTTTCGGCGAAAAATGCCTTACTCTACATGGTCGTTTTTTTTCGGCGAAAAATGCCTTACTCTACATGGTCGTTTTTTTTCGGCGAAAAATGCCTTACTCTACATGGTCGTTTTTTTTCGGCGAAAAATGCCTTACTCTACATGGTCGTTTTTTTTCGGCGAAAAATGCCTTACTCTACATGGTCGTTTTTTTTCGGCGAAAAATGCCTTACTCTACATGGTCGTTTTTTTTCGGCGAAAAATGCCTTACTCTACATGGTCGTTTTTTTTCGGCGAAAAATGCCTTACTCTACATGGTCGTTTTTTTTCGGCGAAAAATGCCTTACTCTACATGGTCGTTTTTTTTCGGCGAAAAATGCCTTACTCTACATGGTCGTTTTTTTTCGGCGAAAAATGCCTTACTCTACATGGTCGTTTTTTTTCGGCGAAAAATGCCTTACTCTACATGGTCGTTTTTTTTCGGCGAAAAATGCCTTACTCTACATGGTCGTTTTTTTTCGGCGAAAAATGCCTTACTCTACATGGTCGTTTTTTTTCGGCGAAAAATGCCTTACTCTACATGGTCGTTTTTTTTCGGCGAAAAATGCCTTACTCTACATGGTCGTTTTTTTTCGGCGAAAAATGCCTTACTCTACATGGTCGTTTTTTTTCGGCGAAAAATGCCTTACTCTACATGGTCGTTTTTTTTCGGCGAAAAATGCCTTACTCTACATGGTCGTTTTTTTTCGGCGAAAAATGCCTTACTCTACATGGTCGTTTTTTTTCGGCGAAAAATGCCTTACTCTACATGGTCGTTTTTTTTCGGCGAAAAATGCCTTACTCTACATGGTCGTTTTTTTTCGGCGAAAAATGCCTTACTCTACATGGTCGTTTTTTTTCGGCGAAAAATGCCTTACTCTACATGGTCGTTTTTTTTCGGCGAAAAATGCCTTACTCTACATGGTCGTTTTTTTTCGGCGAAAAATGCCTTACTCTACATGGTCGTTTTTTTTCGGCGAAAAATGCCTTACTCTACATGGTCGTTTTTTTTCGGCGAAAAATGCCTTACTCTACATGGTCGTTTTTTTTCGGCGAAAAATGCCTTACTCTACATGGTCGTTTTTTTTCGGCGAAAAATGCCTTACTCTACATGGTCGTTTTTTTTCGGCGAAAAATGCCTTACTCTACATGGTCGTTTTTTTTCGGCGAAAAATGCCTTACTCTACATGGTCGTTTTTTTTCGGCGAAAAATGCCTTACTCTACATGGTCGTTTTTTTTCGGCGAAAAATGCCTTACTCTACATGGTCGTTTTTTTTCGGCGAAAAATGCCTTACTCTACATGGTCGTTTTTTTTCGGCGAAAAATGCCTTACTCTACATGGTCGTTTTTTTTCGGCGAAAAATGCCTTACTCTACATGGTCGTTTTTTTTCGGCGAAAAATGCCTTACTCTACATGGTCGTTTTTTTTCGGCGAAAAATGCCTTACTCTACATGGTCGTTTTTTTTCGGCGAAAAATGCCTTACTCTACATGGTCGTTTTTTTTCGGCGAAAAATGCCTTACTCTACATGGTCGTTTTTTTTCGGCGAAAAATGCCTTACTCTACATGGTCGTTTTTTTTCCGATAAAAACGCCTTACTACACTTGGTCGTTATTTTTGGCTAAAAACGCCTTTCTATACATAGTCATTTTTTTTGGCTAAAAATGCCTTACTATACATGGTCGTTTCTTTCGGGTTAAAACGCCTTACTACATGTGTTTTTTTTTTTTTCGTCTAAAAATGCCTTACTATACATGGTCGTTTTTTTGGCTAAAAATGCCTAACTATACATTGTCGATTTTTTCAGCTAAAAGCTAAAAACGCCTTACTATACATGGTCGTTTTTTTTCCGATAAAAACACCTTACTACACTTGGTCGTTATTTTCGGCTCAAAACGCCTTACTATACATGGTCGTTTTTTTCGGCTAAAAATGCCTTTCTATCCATGGTCGTTTTTTTTGGGTTTAAACGCCTTACGATACATGGTCGTTTTTTTCAGCTAAAAACGCCTTACTATACATGGTCGTTTTTTTTCCGATAAAAACGGCTTACTATACATGGTCGTTTTTTTTCGGCTAAAAATGACTAACTATACTTGGTCGTTATTTTCAGGTTAAAACGCCTTACTATACATGGTCATTTTTTTTCGGCTAAAAATGACT